AGAGGACCAGGGTCTAGATCGTCTGTGAATGACAGGCTGAGCTGGGCACAAGCTCTGTCCTCAGCAGAACCAGGGGCGCTGGGTGTCTGGACAAGCAAAGAAGGAAAGGCACGGGGTGCCCGGGGCACACGCTGTGCCAGCTGGGGTCACTTGGACACAGGAAGCTTTCTGGGTTCTGTGTGCAGATTGGTGGCCATTTGCCCCAGCACCCCGGGGCCTGTGGCCCTGATGAGCCTTCTCTTGCTGGAAGGACACATTGGGCCAAGCTGCCATTAGGAAAGTCAGAGCCTTTTGGTTTTCCTTTTGCTTTCTTTGAGAATAGTGGTGCTGGGCTTGGTAAGTAATTGGTGGATGAACTGATGATTTCTTGGATAGCAATTGGGAAGCGTCATCATTATCATCATCAAAGCAGCAATTTCGTGGCTAGTGTCTGCTGAGTGAACGGAAAGTGTCAGACACCACGAAGGTTCTTGATGGGCTGGGTCATGTTTGACTTACACCAAACCCGAGAGGTAGGATCATTACTTTCTCTCGCTTACAGTTGAGGAAACTGTAGTTTCGGAAAGGCTTGTTGGAGGTTCGCTGGCTGGACTGGGTGTCAGGGGACGGAGCAGGATACTTCACGAGGGCTGAACCTTGCACGTTGCCATAGACCAAGGTGGCCAGCCCGGTGCCCAGCGCTTGTGGGGAGCTCACGGTGAACTTCACAGCGGCTCATTCCTCCGTCACTTACTCAACAGATGCCAGCTGTGGGCCTCCAGGGAGGGAGGGCTGAGCCCAGCACTTTGAGCCAAGGAAGCACAAGTCACTATCCCTGCCTCAAGGCTGGAGGAGAGCAAAGCTGGCGGCTGCAGCAGCGTCACTTAGCGGCGCTCACTGCTCACTGTGCCCAGCACGTGAATGGCTTCGTCTCATTCTGTCCTTGTTCTCATTTCTGCATTGTGGGAGGTGGGAGGAATCTGTCCAGGGCCACACAGCTCATACAGTATGAGCCCCAGGCTCCCCGGACCGTCTGTGTTGTTGAATCACAAAGAGTAGCAGTGTGGAGGTCAGTACGAGGGCAGTAAATAATACGCATAAAGAGGAAGAAGGAGAGTGGAAAGGGAATCGCAGAGAGGGGGAAGGGACTCGGAGAAGGAAAACTCAGGAATCCTGGGAATTGATGCTCTCAGAGAGTGATGTCCCTGTGCTGTGATTGACGGAGGTGAGAATCCAGAGAGAGCCTGGGCTTTGCCCCTGAGGATGTTGCTAGTGACGGTCCCACAAGCTTTTGGAGAATAGAACTGTGCTGGATAAATTCTGTGCGAACAGTGGCCCATAAGCTGTTGCATCTGCTGATACAGTAGCCCATCTCGAAACGACACAGGACCAGGCTGGGCAGAGCAGAATTAGGCACTCACTCGAAGGTCGGTGGAGAATGGAAGTCAGTGGTCGCCTGATCTTTTGATTTTCCAGGAGGCTGGAAACCCACAATTTCGTGTGTGATCTCTCTATCTCTTGAGTCCCAAATGTCAGCTCAGTTTTTTTAAAAGCAAAACTCAGTTGCAGGCTGTAACCATGACACACCTGTGGGCTGACTCGGCCACCAGCTGAGCTGCCAGCTCCAGGCCCCACTTCCCAAGAAGTACAGAAGGAAATGAGAAGCATGGCAAAGCAGCAGCGAGGCCGAGGGCTGCTCCGGGGGTGTATGAGGCCACTGTTCCCCCCAGAGCCTGCTTGTTCTCGTTCCATGGATGGGTGGACAGAGGGAGAGTCCATAGGTAAAGAGAGAGGGCCAAAGGCAGAGGGAGGTGTCTGAGGGAAGAATGAGACTGAAATGGCACTGTCCTGGAGATGAGAAGCGGCAGACTCGGGAGGAGTAGGGACCCTCCCTCCTCGTTCCCATGTGTGCAGACGCAGGGTGCACCCACAGAGAGGTCCGACAGAGCCTGGGGTGGAGAGGTCCCTGCAAAGGATTTTGCTGGCTGCTTTGTGGCTAGGTGGTGGTGAGTACTATCTAGTGGCAGTGAGGACCCAGGTGAGTCTGATTTCCCGAGTATCTCTTTAGGGGACACAGACAGACAGAGGCCAGAGCTGCTCTCCTTGTCCAGCGACTCCTTTTAGTCCACAGCTCTCCCTGAGCCAGTGGCAGGTTTCCCACGTTTCATTCATTCTCTTGCTTCCGTCATCACTTTGCCGTGCCTGTGAATGTCTCGTGCTGTTATTTACTCAATAGCTGTCTTTAAATAACCTCCTATTTTACAGATGAAAATAGAAAGCGAAGCTGTATGTCATTACTTACACTGTTATTTTGCATTTTTGCAAATAGGCCCTTGGAAAGTGTACGTAATCCCCGACATTTTGTCAGGTACTCATTTCGGGTCCCCACGGTGGTGGTGTCCCTCAGCAGCGCAGGTGCAGTGTCCTGGGACAGAGGGAGCTACTTCGTCGGTAGAGCTCGACTTGTTCAGAGAGAGCACTTTTTCCCGTGTTACGATAATCATATTTGGTCCTGGTTTTTATTCAAGCAGGGCAACTTCGGTGGCTTGATCTGAATAAAATGGATGAGAGCAGGCACCGTTTTGTCTGGCACTTTGAAAGTGTTGCTGCTGGCTACCAAGGAGTCGGAACCTTGACTGCAGAGCCATCCAAATTAATCCAGGCTAGAAAAAAATGAAAATGCCGTCAAGGAACAGGAGATGTGTCAGCTGCCCTGCTTAGACTTTTCATATAAACATAAAGTTTGGCAGATTATAGGTGAAAGGTCAGCTCAGCAAAAAAGAAAATGTCAGACAAGCTCGTCAGACAGGTAGCGGAGGATGGGAGTTGGAAGCTACTGTTGCTTCTCAGGACGAGTGTAAACACCGTCACCGCCCTGGTCATGTAGGTGGCTGCTTCTCTATGCTGAGTCTCAGAATGTGATTTAAAAGGCGCCAGGGAGGTGTGATCCTGAGGAAGATTTGCTTTGCTGCACTTTTCTTTTCTTCTTCGTCGTCTTCTTCCTCTCCTCCTCCTCCTCCTCCTCCTCCTCCTCCTCCTCTTCTTCTTCTTCCCCTTCCCCTTCCCCTTCTCCTCCTCTTCCTCCTCCTCCGAAAGGGAAGATGCACTTTGTCTTTTGCTCCATGTCCTGCTGTCCCCTGTTGGCCACCACAGCTAGAAAATGAGGAGCTGGGCCTCCTGCAGGGGCGCTGCTGTGGACGGATGGTGTGCAGTGCCTCTGGCAGCAGGAGGGGTGGGCGCTGGGGGCCCTGCGGCTCAGGGGTGCATCCTCCAGCCAGAGGGGTCACTGAGCCATGATCCTGGGGTCCTGGGGCCTCACGGATTTCCAGCATGTGTGGTGCCAGGAACGTGTTGCCTTGTTAGTACATCTTTCCCCTGCGCCGTAAGCCTGGGAATTGTGCGAAATATCAGCACCATTTTATCCAAGTAGCTTGCAGCAGGCAGCACACTGCTAGCGGCCAGACTTGCATAAACAGGCGTCTGAGAGGCTTCCCGTCCGGGATGAGCTCTTGAGCACAGCCTTGCAAATAACTGGCCAAGGCCCAGTCGCACAGAGGTGGGCACTGGTAACCCAGGATACCTGCTGATGCTTGGCCTCCACGTTTCCAGTTTGATCTCTGCAGTGTTATTTTTTACCAGACTGCTTTCATCTCTTTCTGAAGCCTCCCCATTAACTCACACGTTATCTAGGCAATTCTATTCCTGTTATTAGAAGCCAAAGGAAAACGGTAATACTGCAAAACATGACCTCAGTCTTAGAAGCCGCTGAGTAGGGAGGACTTCGTCGTGTGGTCTTGAGGCTGTGCATTGCTGAAACCCAAGTGGACCGGACGGAGCTGCCCTTCCCCCGCCAAGTTCTCTTTCCCACTAAGCCTCCTTAATTAAATCATTGACTCTAGCTTGCTGGTAAGAACCAATTCTTACAACAAGTGGATCCAATTTCCTGCTAAAGGTAACTTGAATTCTTCCTGGAATAGCAGGAAACAGTAATTCTGCATTGGATCCAGGAGTCTCGGGAAGCTGGAATTGTAGGTGCCATTGCTCTACCTCTTTTTGCCTCCAAAATAATAAAATAAAATAAAACAAGCAGGGGCCCAACATTGAGGCCTGAGGGATGGGTAGTGACAGAGGAGGGAAAGGGGCATTAATCGCGGGATGGGGACAGCTGCCCGGGACTATCTCCCTTTGGATTTCGGTTCTTATAGCAGTGCGGTGAGTTATTAATATGTATGATCTGTACTTTATTCAAACATTATAAATCTATGCAGAAGTCTGGTGTTTGGGTTTTTCTTTATAGCTTTCATTCTTCTTCCCAGAATTATCTCATTTCGATCGGGAAACTTTTGCATAAAAAGCACACACCGAGAACTCACATTTCCATACCATAAATATTAAAAGGGGGTTAAGCTTTACAGTTTCCTGCCCATCCCAATGGGAGGAAAGTTAGCCTACCAGTCTGGGGCCCTTTAATAATGTTCTTTTTATTCACAAGCCAAAAGATAAACTTAAAATTAGACTTGCAATAGGAAATTGCACCATGTGGTCCCCGCATAGGTGCAAATTGTGGCGTGCTTGGCTCTGCCCTGTCTTTTGCATGAAAGATGTATTGCAAATACAGCATTTCTCAGAGTCATTAAGAATAGTCGGCTGGCTTATTTTTTGAGGACCAAATCGAATCCAGGCCATCTTTTAAGGTTCACGATGAAAGTACTTTTTCCCAGATAATTAGGAAGTGCAGATTCATTACCGTGTGAATTCATCACAGTAAGTCTGTACAGTACAGAAGAGCCAGAAGACTGAGTGTCTTCTCACTACCTTTTTGGATTCTCAGCAGCTTCCTGTCTCCTGCCTGTTTTCATTTTTTGTCATTGTGAAGGACTAATGCATTGTGGTTCACATGGAAATATAGCGGAATGTGTGAGCTGTTTCATTTGAGTGAGCCGGCTGCTAATCAGCCTCGGCTGCTGTACTTCGTGATGGGAAATGAACGTGCTAATTGCTGCTCTTTTTTCTTATTTCAGGAAACCTGCCATATGAATATAAAATAGTGATTGCTGGGAATCATGAACTGACATTCGATAAGGAATTCATGGCAGACCTTGTTAAACAGGACTACTACCGTTTCCCCTCTGTGTCCAAATTGAAACCAGAGGACTTTGACAATGTTCAGTCCCTCCTGACGAACAGTATTTACTTGCAAGATTCGGAGGTCACAGTGAAGGGGTTCAGGATATACGGTGCACCTTGGTAAGTGTTCGTTCAACCAGTCCCCTTCCACGCTGTAGCTGGGCACCAAGAAAGGTGATTTGGACATAGGTGCTTTAAATGGAATGGTTTGAATGGAGGGGAAGCTTACTGGTGGATTTCCAACTGAACACACTCTGTCAGGGCTTCACAACACTGTGTTTTTTCCATTGTGCAACAGATTCATGTAGTCAAGATCCACGGGAGCGGGGCTTTGGTAGATGTGTCTGTATTATGGGATTGGGGCCACACATGTGTCTCCGTGACAGAGAAGAATTTGGGAAGGTCACCTAACATCCAGCAGCCTTGGGTGGCCCGTGGCCTTCTGCTCTCGGGGCTGTCACAGGCTTACGAGCAGGAGACATTGGCAAAGCCGTGTGAGAATGCCTGGTCACTCGCTGCAAGACAATGCCGATCAGTTTTCTGCTCGTGCCTCTGACACTACGCACTTAGGTGGCCTTGGGCGTCTACTCTCCTTCCAAATGAGAGTACCGGGACAGGGGCTCGTCCACATCCAGGGATTCTGGGACCCTGCTTGAGGCCTCTGTGGCTGTCCTGAGCAGAGCTAACCTTGGCCGGTCTCATCTCGAGCTACAGTGGGCTCGGGAGAGGGCAGCAGCAGTGAATTCAGGTCAGACCTCTGCACTCAGCGGTTCCCTTTGTCCTCTATGAAGTACAAAGCTGACATACCGTAGGTGACTTTTGCTTTTTTAGCTTTCCTGGGTGGTATCCAGAAGGATCGATGAGTGGGTACAGAAAGTATTGGAAATACGTTTCTGTTCAAAATCAACCTGATAATGGCTGTGAGCTCTGTAGGGAAGACCATGTGCCATGTGTTGTTCTAAATTCATTATATCCGTTATTCGTTTAATCCTCAGAATCCCTTCAGAGATAGGCAGCATTGTGGTTCTCGGCAGATAAGAAAACTCAGGCACAGGAAGGTTAAGTGTCTGCTCAGGGAACAGCGGAGAGTGAGTGGTAGCACCTTGATTTGACCCTAGCAAGTCTGGCTCGGGGAGTACTGGACAGCCGAAGGGTGGCTGGTGGTAGGGTGGGTGGTATAATCGTTAGCACTGGTCATCCGCAGATCCACTTATATCCAGCTCTGTTAATGCCATTGATTTATTTTTTATGGTACAGGGCAAGAGAACAGGCAGCAGAAATTAGTCCTGTCAAACTGTAGTCTGAAAGCCAGTCTCAGGTATGCAGGATGGTGGTGTTACCATCTCCAGGTGCAGGGCCGGGGACACAGGGCACTTCAGGCTTCTCGGTCCAGCACTCCGTGACAGGCACGTAATCGAGGAAGGGCCTCTGCCTGCCACAGCAACCCTCCTGTGGGTCAAGATAGGTCTTCAGTAACCTGAGGTGTGTTTGAAAACTCTTCAAAGGCCCTGGACATTTCAGGCCGTTTCTGGAGGAGCAGGACTCTGGGAGCCCGGGGCTGAGCGCTGCTGAAATGCTGACACAGCCACATCCTCCACGGTCTGAGCCGATGCGGATCTGTAGGGAGGGGGGTTTAGCTCAGGTGACTCCAGCCCCAGCCGCTATGCGGGAGGGCGTGACTTGAGGTCCTGAGGCAGAGCCTGCAGCACCTCAAGGAATGAAAAGGAACAGAGCAAGCTCAGGTATGTGCTTCCATGGGTGTGACCCCCAACTGACTTCAGGGAAAGTTCGTATCAGAACTGTGCGGATGTCATTTAGATTTTTATTTTAATATTGAAGAGGATGGGAAAAGTCGGAACATAGGCAGCATTATCCTGAAGTTGTTGTTCGGTGTAAAGAGCTTGGGAATTTCCACAGAACTTGAACTCTTTCCTGCTGGGCAGCTAAGGGAAGTCACTGAAGGGACCGTTGTACTTGGTGTTCTCATGGAGAACACGGAGGTTGATGAAAGGGAAGTTTATCAGTTGTGTGGATCTTACCATCAGATACTTTGCAGAATGAGGGGCCTGGGCCCCCAGGACCACTGATAACCTGAACGCTGACGAGGCATCTGCATCAGCCTTTCTGTGCAGCAAGGAGGGTCCCCGGGACCTTGGGCAGGTTTCCTCACGTCGCCATCCCACTGATTTCTTGTCTTTAAAATGGGAATCAATGACATTGCTTCCCTCTCCTGGGGGCTATGAAGGTGAGAATTACCACGGCTGGAGCATGCGTGACGGCGAACCTTTTAGAGCTTTGGTGACACAAACAGCCTGCTGCAGCGCAAGTGCCATAGGTTCACCACTGCTGAGCTAGAGGAAGCATCTGATAAGGGTTGGAGACCACTGCACCTGGACTGTTGATGTTTCCAGTCTGCTTTATCCCTGCACCAGGCTTCCTAAGGAGACCTGGGTGCCGGACTTGGGGGCTGGGTTCAAGCCTGGGCTGGGCCTCTGCTGATGGACTGTCAGGGGCACGTGTGTAAGGTGGGAATGAAGTCTGGCCTAGTGAGTGTCTGTCATGTGCCACCCACTTAAATGCTCACCTCAGTTCAGATCTTCAAGGAGAAAACATCCTTGCGGGCACTCATGCTTTTTAAAACCCCGTATACAGGGTCATTTTTAATCTCTTTCATTGTTAAGAATTTGAGTAGAAGTAAAGTTTGGATGACTGCATACCATAGCTACCAGTATTCTCCCTTCAGGATTTAGGTTTCCTCCACCTCTGAGATTCATCTGCAGAGGAATCCCTGCTTCATAGCCAGTAGTACTCCAGACTCGAATCATAAACTGAGTCACTTCGTTTCCATGCTTTTCCAGTGGGTATTCTGAGCAAAATATTAAGTTCTGAATTATTGAGTGATTTTGACTAAAAAACAGAAAACGAAGTATCTTGGTACTAAGCATTGGCACCTTGTTATAGGGTTTCCAAACATAATCGCCGCCGTCAGTGCAAGAAAATATCTGCAACTCATGTACTTAAAACTAAGTAGCATAGTATCTGCTTAGCATGTGTAAGGCCCTGGATTTGACTTTCAATAAATAAATAAATAAAATACGGATATTGACTTATTTTGGCTTCACAGAAGAAGTATTAGTCTGGATTCACGGTTTACAATGGTATCACAGTGATTAGAGGGAATGAAAGGACCGTTTCCCTTTCCCTGTTGGCCGTTGAACAGGAACACGGGTGGAGGAGATAACGTTCCCATGTGTGTGGCTGTCAGGGCTGGGGGATGGGCCAGGACCCAGGGAAGAGGACTGGGTGAAAGACGTCGCCTTTCACTGAAGAGGCCTGAGTGCAGTCTTGCTGGGACAGGAAGGACAGGCGCGGATGGGCCTCCGGGGACAGCTCTTCCGGCGCCCATGAGGCTGGCTGTGTAGCTTTGTAGTCTTCCTTCTTCCAAGCATTTTGGAGAAACCTTCCAAGGAACAGGCATCTTCTTTTGATAGTTCTTTCACAGATCTGCTTAGCTCCTGCGACGTTCCCCTCTTCCTCTTGGGGGCCAGAGAGGAGGGTCTTGTGTCCTCAGGCCTTCGGGTCAGCTCTGAGAGCCAGGCCCGCTGCCCCTGGTGCTCCTCCGCTGCCTCCCGGGCTTCTCTCTCTGACCCACACTCACACTCAGCTCTGCATGTTTTTCTGGATGCCTGAGGATGGCTGCAGGAAGGAGACAAAAATCAAATCTGTCAAGGCTTGGCTACTGCGGTGACAGCTTGTCTGGCCAGGGTGGGGGGAGGTGGAATTTGGAGACCATTTGTATTTTTGGTTACTGAATCCATAAACTACAAGTAGGTTTCAGTAAACGTGGTTGTGGGACTTGGTAGATCAAAGACCGACTGGCCTCTGCTTTTTATGATTTCAGTTGCTCTTTTGATGCTAAGATGCAATGTAGGAAAAAAAATCCACGTAGTTAATTCATGAGCAGCTTGGCTGCAAAAAGTAAAAAGCGCGGGTTGCAAGGACAGGGAGAGCAATTGTACTGTTCAGCCCTGGCCTGCGCCTCTCTCCTGCACAAAACCGCGGAGCTGCTATCCCGTGGCGTTCAATGAATAGGAGTGGGCTTTCCGATGTCCAGGAATTTGATCTCTGGGCTGACCAAGAGGCCAGGAACAAAGAGCACCTTTTTATCGCGTCCTACTGGACCCAGGTGTAATTTGTCAGATTTAGTAACTGTGGAGGAAGTACCTTAACTTCTGCAGCAGGAAAATTAAAGCAGGCCTGGGCAGCACAGCGCTAAAATGGCTGCAAAAGGAAGAGAAAGGCCGTGGAGTTGTATTTGCAAAGGGAATGTGTGCAGGAATTGTCCCCCTGTTCTCTTCCCCTCATTTCCTATCATAAACACGTTGAGTTCATTCATTCATTTAGATGTAATTTCCTCAGCATTTTTCCAAGTGGGAGTTAAGTGTCGATTCCACTGTCTGCGGCATTTATAATTGTGTTTGCATACAAATAGCTGCGAGGTTGCTCATGGTTCCTTGTTCTGATCAGTGCTGTGGTACTTTTATGTCTACCCTGTCAGAAGAGCTTCAGATGTTTTTATTTCCAATTATAAGTTTTGTAATGCATCATATATTTTGCTGACAGTCCTCAAGTTCTTCAAACAGCGAACAAATTAACAGCAGATATTGAAGGAGAGGATTAGAAAGCCCCTTGGCAGCTCATATGATAGAATTCAGCTATGAGCATGGGCAGGGTGGGCTCATTTATTTTATTTGCACAGTCATACTTTGTGATTAACTTGGGCCAAGGAAAAAGAAGAAGAGAAAGAAACAACTCCCTGTTAGGCAGACAGGTCCTTTTGCACTTAAGATCGAGTCTGCGGAGCAGTGTTAGCTCTGGAGTCCGTTTGAGAGGTGCCTCTTTTTTCCAGGGTGGTTCTGACAGAGCTCACACAGGAAAGGTCTTGTGTGCGTGTGTTAAGCAAATATGCACTCTGCTGCTACACGGCTCTGTTTAAAGGCCGAAGCTAACGTTTCATTTTTCTTGGCCCGGGGCCCACTGGCTCTCCCATTATGAAGTCTATGCCTGCTCTGCCGGGCTCTAGAGTTACACGGCTTTGTTTACATTTTTGCCTATTTCAG